CGATGCTCGAAGGGTTGGGGGTAGGGGAATTCAGACCCGAGTCAAAGCTCATAGTTCTTCAAAGTTGTAGCGCTGACAGCAGATAGCTGTCAACAAAGTCCAAACTCGTTACCCGACCGGCTTTCGGTATTTCGGGCGCTGAGTTGGGTCGGTTTTGACCTGGACTTACCAACCCCTGCGGGCACAACACAAATTTAAGCACTCGACGCAATCTTGCTAGATCCAAAATAAAGGGGGATTTTATGAAGGCCGATTTTTACTCTCAGGTTTCTCTCTATTTCGCCCTCCAAATTAATGAAAAGGGGGTCGAGCTCAGGCTGTACATTCTGCAGTATTTACACACACAAGCCAATTCGCGTTTCCGGCCGTCTGAGTCGGGGTTATTTAAAAATTAAACCTTTGGAGGAACACTCCGTTGAAAAAAAATATGAAAAACAAGCGCGAGGTAAATGACCTAAAATCCGAGCGTACGTGCAGGAACGTCTGTTTTCATCAAGCTATTTTCGCCTTTAAAAAGTTCGAGCGGCGCGCAAGTCACACCCACCCCGTTTGTTCCAGGGCTGGTCCCACACACGTGCGCCCAACGCGCCAGCCGCGCTAATCCCAGCCGCCTGGATGGGAACGACACGTTTATCCTGTTGCGTTTGCAGAGATGAGGTGATACAGGGGCTCATTTACAAACGGATTGGTGGTGCGGAGGGCGGAGAATATCAAAGTTGAGTGAGGAGGGGACATGGGAGGGCGGCACCACTTGAACAAACAACCGCCCCCCCCAAAAAAAAAAACAACAACAAATAATTAAAAGCAACAACATCCAAACAAAAATTATACACATACAAAAAAGATAAACTGCCTTACTTTACTTTTCGTGTTTCCCCTTTTTGGCTGCTTGCCGCGCTGGTAAAATATAGCGACGCATCAGTGACACAGTAGACGCACCGTCCTCTTTGTTGTATGGAAAATGTGCAAGCACAGGCATCTCGCATCTAGGTTAGTAAACTTGAGGCAGCTGACAGAGGCTCATGTTTACATTTTTTTTCCGCGGCGGAAGAATGATATCCAGATGTCCCCCAGTCTCCAGCTCCAGCCAGGACACACATTGCGCGCATATCACGACCTGTCATCTGGCCGCAGAGATCCCTCGTCTCTCCTGCTGCCCGGCCCCACCCCCCTAATGCCGTTACAGTAAAGTGAGGTTTCGTGGACGTTTCTGGGGGCACTCTGTCGGGGAAACTCCAGGGTCTTGCCGCAATCTTGCCGAAGTTCGGAGAATTTGTCGGTGGCCTATCACTATTTTCTTAGCAGGAAGATGCTTTAGCTGAGCCTGCAGATGTTAGTAAAAAGTCGACTATCGGTCGAAAACTCCCAATACGTGATGCTCTCATGGAGACAGTCTGGAAACCTTTACCCAGTCCCCATCACCCCGTATGTCCCGTCCTTTTCCCACATCCACGTTCTTCGCATTCAAGTTTGTTTTCCTTGCCATCATAAGTAATGAGAGCTAGCACGAATTTAATTTTTCCAGCCTCAAAAGCGTTTGGGTTGGTCAGGCATAAAAAATGTACATTTCGGCCCCCTTTTCTCGCCCAAAGGTTTGACAGACTAGCCTGCTCCCGACCTCCTTTCTGATTACACTCCATGAATCCTTTTGAATGACAGAACCGGGAGAAATAATGTTTTTCATCTTTCCCACCCCACCCGCTCGGCCTCGCCTCTGCAGGGAAAAATAGAGACGACAGAGCGGCGGGAGGGAGTAGCAGCGGCAGCAGCAGCGGCGGCGGTGGTGGAGGGGTGGCAGTGGCAGTAGCGCAGGGCCACAGATTGTGAGGGGGAGGAGGCGTCGTGCAGCGCGGCAGCCAGCCGTGCGCAAGCGAGAGAGTGAAAGGAAGGCCTTGCAACCCGACTGCAGCCCTGCACGCCCCG